CTCATAGGATTTCCAAGGCTGGATATCTTTATTGAAGCAAATAGTGGCGGTGGTAGTGGTGGGGGTGTGCCGTGGAGTTCGTTCCAACTCATAGCGACCCTCCATAGGGTTTCTGAGGAGTGAATAGTGAGCTTGAACCTCTGGCATTGCGGTTCAAGCCAACTCTGCAGTCCAGTGCGTTACCCACAGTGCCACACCAAGTAACCCACATTTTACTAGTCCTAGAAGCTGGTAGGTTCAAACTGTCAAAGTGTTCATTGCCTAACCACTTCACCACTAACCTGGGAACCTTATTGAGGCAGTTTTAACTCTGCTCTATAGACTCTAAGTTGATATGACAGCACAAAACAACATGAAAAACCACAGGGCATAGAAAAGTAGAACATTTTTCTTGATGAAAAGCATTAACAAAGTGAGAGGACTTTAAATGATTTTAAGATCTATTAACTAACGATTCTGATTCTAACGACCCGAAGTAGGGTTTGCGAGGCTGTAAATCTTTAATTGAGCAGAAAGTTTCATTTTTCTCCCATGGAGTTGCTGGTGGGTTTGAATTGCAGACATGTTGGTGAGCAGTCCAGTGCTAATCCTACAGCTCGACCAGACTCCTTAAGATTTATTACAAGATAACATTAATCGGTGGTTTTAGTGAAAGGACAGACATAAAGATCACTACAATAGAGCAATAGTGCAAAGATCTGGAATCAGAAAACCAAAGAGGAAGAGCACACTCAGCATCTCTCAAGCTGGGGGAACTGAAGAAAAAATTCAAGCCTCGACTTTCATTATTGATTGAATAATTTCTCTGGGCAAATTATTGAATGATGCAGAAAGCATCAAGAGAAGATGGAAGGAATGTACAGAGTCACTGTACCAAAAGGAAAACGGTTAATGTTCAACCATTTCAAGAGGTAGCATATGACCAAAAGCCAATGATACTGAAGGAGGAAGTCCATGGTGCATTGAAGGAACTGTCGAAGAACAAGGCACCAGGAATTGATGGAATAAAAATTGAAATCTTTCAAGAAAGTGAGGCGGCACAGGAGGCACTCACTCATCTATGCCAAGAAATTTGAAAGACAACTATCTGGCCGACTGATTGGAAGACATCCATATTTGTGCCCATTCCAAAGAGGGGTGACCGAAAAAAATGCAGGAATCATTGGACAATTTCTTTGATATCCCATGTGAGTAAAGTTTTGCTAAAGGTAATACAGAAATGGATACAATCATACATTGACAGAGAACTTTCAGAGGTTCAAGCCGGGTTCAGAAGAGTCCGTGGAACAAGGCATATCATTACAGATGTCCGATGAATCCTGGCCTAAAGCAGAGGCTATCAGAAAGATATTTACCTATGCTTTATCGACTATACAAAGGCTTTCGATCGTGTGGATCATGACAAGCTATGGACAATATTGCAAAGTATGAGTATTCCGGAACACTAAATTGTGCTCATGAGCAATCTGTACCTGGACCAAGAGGCAGTTGTTCGAACAGAATGTGGGAACACTGAATGGTTTAAAATTCAGAAAGGTGTGTGACAAGGTTGTATTCTTTCACCATACTTACTCAACCTACCTGTATGCTGAGCAAATAATCCGAGAAGCTGGGTTATATGATGAATCTTGAAAATATTATACAAAGTAAAAGATTCAAAAGGCCACATATTATATGATTTCATTCATATGAAATGCTCAGAAAAGGAAAATTTACAGAGACAAAAAGTATACTAGTGGTTGCTAGGGGCTGGGAGAATGGAAAGTGATTGCTAATGGGTACCTCTTCCTTTGGATGATGATGAAAATATTGTAAAAGAGATTATAGTGAAGGTTGTACAACTCTGTGAATACACCAGAAACACAACTGTATTTTAAATGGGTGAAGTTTTAAACATGTGAAATACATTTTAATTTAAAAAAACATAATAAGTATAGAAAAAAGATAAGAGAAAAAAAGTCAAAGCAATTAAGATAACCTAGAAGTTCTTTGTGACGTTGGGTTAGATAAAAAACAACCACCACCAAAAAAAAAAAAAAAAAAAAACTTGATTCATTGTAAGTCATCAAAAATAAAAATAAAAAATAAAATTCCAAAAGGCATTGTTCAGAAATGAAAATACAAATTGTAAATTGGAGAAAAAAAATACATAAAATACACATTTTCATAAAGAATTTATATCTAGCATATATACAGAATTCTCTTTTGAAAGCAAACACCTAGTTTTTAAAACACAGACCAATTAATGAAGAAAAGAACTGAACAGGGATCAATGCATGAAAAGGTTCTCCACATGATTTGTCATTCAGGAAATGTAATTTAAAATGACAATGAAAAAGCTAAAACTTAAAAAACGGAGCTTTTGGAGCACAAGAGAGAAGGTAGAGGAACTGGAACTGTCAACATGTTATTAGTGGTTGTTATGTTGTTGTTAAGTGCTGTCAAGTCAGTTCCAACTCCGTTATTGGTGGTAGGCAGTCAAAATGGGATAACCACTTAGGAAAACAATTTGGCAGTTCCATATAAAGTTAAAGATATACTTTCTACATTATGCAGCAATCCTACACTATTCAAAGGTATTTATTTATTCAAAAGCAATGAAAATATGTGTGGTGCTGTAGGATAAGCACTGGGCTGTAGTTCAAACCCACCAGCTGCTCCTTGGAAATCCTAGGAGTCGCTATGAGTCGGAACTGACTCAAAAGCACTTAACAACAACACATAGGTCCATCTCTACAGTAAAGTCCATCTCTACAGTAAGCAATAAGTTATCTTGCTCCAAAGAATATGGCACATTTCAAATAAATGTTGATAGCATTAGTCCCCCTTACCAGATGTCTTCTGAAGTTCTCCACTTTAACATTCTTTCCTGTTTCTATTCTTAAGCATATGAAAGGAAAATGGGTGGCATGTGAAAAGAAAAAGATTCCTTGAAAAACCCTGTATACCCTGCTATGCTACTGTTCAAAGTGCTGAGTCCTGCATAGGGTTTCAGAGGAGCAGCTGGTGGATGTGAATCACCTAACTTGTGGTTCAAACTGACCTTGCAGTGCAGTGCTTATCCTATAGCACCACACCAGGATTCCTGCTATGCTAATAAATGGTGGTAACTGGCTTAATGAGCCCTGGAGGGAAGCTATAGGATAAATCCTGAACTGTTAACCACAAGGTGGGTGGTTCAAACCTACCAGCTGTTCCTGTACAGGGTCATTATGAGTCAGAACTGATTCAACTGAGCTCAATTAGCTATTCTGAGATTTACAGCTACTATGCTTTAACAAAGAGTCCTGGTGTGGCATTGTGGGTTAATGTGCTAGACTGCAGAGTCGGTTTGAACTGTAAGGTTGGTGGTTCAAGTTCACCAGTCACTCCTTGGAAACCCTCTAGAGGGTCGCTATGGGTCGGATCTGACTCGATGGCACTTAACAACAACAACATGCTTTAAGTAAGAAGTTATAATGCATATTTTCTAAGTGCTAATTATTTTTATATTAAGTCCATTAAATGCTTACAATACAGATATTATCTGTTATAACTGCTACATAAGCTGTTATCTCTTGATTATAAATAAATCCCTCCAGTGTGTTATTCTGTCTTGCTATTCATGCATAAATTTTAACTGACATATATTTACATGGAAAACTGTGTACTAAGAAAACAAAATATACATTTCCCATGTATTTCTGGTTTCCCTCTTCCTTTTTCAGTGCTCCCACCAGCATTGGTCAGATTTCTGTGCATCAACAGCATCACATCCTTTACTTCAAGGAAAAATAAAAACTTAAACCAAATATTTGTTTGCTAAACACTTTTCACTTATAGTTAATTTCCATCACTTCTAAAACCTAAACACCAGTTCCCTACATACTTGCAAAGGAGTAGAATGAAGAAATAGGCAATATGATTTCCTTAAATAAGAAATTGATATTTATTCTGAATAGTTAAAGTTAAATATTGACTCAATAAAGCTAATTCCTGAACACTGTGGTCGTTGTTAAGTGCCGTAGAGTCAGTTCTGACCCACAGTGACCCCTATACAGGGTTTCCAAGGAGCGGCTGGTGAACTTTAACTTGAGGTCAAACCAACTTTGCAGTCCAGTGCATTAACCAAGAACCTCATACTATTCTTGGACACTGTTACTGTTGTTGTGCTATTGAGCGGTTCCGACCCACAGCAACCCTGTACAGGGTTTCCTAGGAGCGGCTGGTGAACTTGAACCGTCTGCCTTCCTGGTAGTGGTTATGTGCCGCGGAGCCGGTTCCGAACCATAGCGACCTTGTACAGGGTTTCCGAGGCTGTATATCTTTACGGAAGCAGAACGCCTCATCTTTCTCCCACAGAACAGCTGATAGTTTCAAACTGCTGACCTTGCGGTTCTCAGCCAGATTCGTAACCACTACACTACCAGAGCTCCTGGTATCTAATAATTAGGCTGAACAGTAGGGGACGCATGCCAGTTTCTTTCAAAAGCACATTAAAATAGTTCAGTATTCAGTTGTGCCAGCTATTTTGGCTGCCTCTAAAAGGAGCTCTAGTAGCTTAATGGTTACGAATCGGGCTGCTAATCTCCCAGTAGCAGTTCGAAAACTACCAGCTGTTCCACGGGAGAAAGATGAGGTTTTCTGCTCCTGTAAAGATTTACAGCCTGGAAAGCAGAGTCGCTATGAGTCAAACCGACTCCACGGCACATAACAACAACAAAAAGCAACTTGCCGTTCTGGTGTGGCGCAGTGGGTTAATGCGCCTGACTGCAAAGTCGTTTGAACTGCAAGGTCGGTGGTTCAAGCTCACCAGTTGCTCCTCAGAAAGCCTATACAGTGTCACTATGGGTCGGAATCAACGCGACGACACTTAACAACAACAACAACAACTTAAGTTGCATTACTGGTGGTCAGTATTTCTAAGCAAAAGCAAATTTCATAAGCATAAACTGAAGGTGAGAAACCCCAAATCAAATACAAAGAAAAAAAGCCTATACAGAATATGAGGAGGTACCTACCTCATGTATAAGAGCAAGTGATGTCTGCTTGAAACTTCGCCCTCTACTGGCCATCAAGCGATTCAATGGCTTGCCATCTTTACTCTGATACATAGAAACATCATAACAAAATAACATACCACCTTAAAAAAAACAAACATAAAATGTTTTATGGTGAAAATTCATTAATCACATTCTCAGGAATCCATACCTAATCAACCTGGATTGGGAGGTTTAATAATGAAGAGAGAATCTGCTAAGCAAATTATGGTTTGGCTATTGATTTTTAAGGAAAGATAGAGAGGTATAAAAGTTATTCTATTTTAAATAGCTCTTAGCGTAGTGGTTACGAATCGGGCTGCAAACCTTAAGGTCAGTGGTTCGAAACTACCAGTTGCTCCGCGGGAGAAAGATGAGGCTTTCTACTCCCCTAAGGATTTACACCCTCGGAAACCCTGTACAGGGTCGCTATGGGTTGGAACCGACTTGAGGGCACTTAACAACAACAACATTTACAAGTTACTATTGATAAAGGCATTATTCATTTGTAAATCAAGGAATACATTTAAAATTCACAACTCCATTTTAAACACAAGTTTGTGAGCAACTACTTTTAGGGTTTTATTACGTTGTGAATGCTAGACAACAGGGATTCCTTTGATTGTTATCCACAAATAAGATTTCCCTCATACCTGCGCTCACATACATTCCTTCCTCTTCTCCTCCCTGTTTGCACTCTCATCAACTAAGTTTCCATTGAGATTTCAGCTCCAGACTAACCCCCAAGTCAATGAGAAGCAATGACAGGCAGTCAATGCTGGAGGATATGTTAGGGCAGTCTTGAAAGCTCCCTGGGCAATTGTAGCCAACTAGAAGGCATACCCAAGGAACACTGTGTTAGTGGATTTGACTATTTCTTCTTCTAGTTCTGCTCAGATTGGACTAATATATTTTAGAGCTATATTATTTGTTGTTATTGTTAAGTGCCCTCCAGTCAGTTCTGATCCAAAAAACCCTGTAGAGGGTACGAGGCCGTAAATATCTGTGGCGGCCTCATCTTTCTCACATGGATTGGCTGGTGGGCTCAAACCGCGAACCTTGTGGTTCGTGTTTCCGTGCTTATCCCACAGATTCTTTAGTGCATGACATAGGGAACAATGCTGTTTTACTATAGAGATGGCTTTACCTTCACGAACGGTTCCTTTCCTTTGTCTAGTACTTTTTCAATGTATGCTAGACAACGTGAAAACCCATAGAGAGGCTCTAACAGATGTCACATTGCTCCTGATAGGAGTTTCTTCTCTCCTCTATTAGGCAGATAGGGTGGGCACTCGTCATCTCACTTTTATCAAAGATTGAGCTGGATTACGCTTAAACCATAGTGACACAGGGGTTAAGCACTCAACACTAACCAAATATCAGTAGTCAAACCCACCAGCTGCTCCGCAAGAGGAGCCTCCATAAAAGTTAGTTCTGGAACCCCTATAGGGAATTCTGTAGGGTCACTATAAATTGGAATTGATTCAACAGCAATGTGATTGGGTTTGGGAAATCTCAGTACAGATGTACTTCACCCTGTGTTTAGGGGATGCCACCTCCAGCATTTTCAACTAAGAGACTAAATTAGAGTGTTTGCCTCCCCTCCCCAGTACTGAAAGATTATCAGAGATTTAGGGACATCCTTCAGAGGTTTTCTACTTAGCTCTTTAGTCGCCTATCACACTGTTGTTGCTCTTAAGTGCCATCGAGTAAGTTCCAACGCATAATTAAATTTGGCAAGTGTCTTGAAGGAGAACTAGGCTGTGTGTTTTTGGCCCTTCAAGTCTCTAGTTTTGTCATTCCAGGACCATATGAATGCCAAGATCTCTGTGGGTTTACCTACTTCTTACACCAGACTCCTGCCAAGCCAAGCCTGAGCTCTCTGCTCTAACTATGACCAGAATTAGTAAGTCCACCCCAGAGAAAGCAGCTGTAGGTCTTCAGGATTCATTCACTACTCCCTGGAAGCTTTCCAATCCTGTGTGCTCTATTTGGAGGCCCCTCCTCCTACCTCATCTTTGTCTCCTAAGCACCACAAGGATGAAAGGGGATAGCACGTTGCCAGAAGCTTGCAATCTAGCTCATTAGCCTTCTGTGTTCCACAAATGTTTTATGGAGAAAATCTCTAATTTGTCACCCATGCAACCACTCAAAGCTCTGCTGTTTTTGTTGCCTCCAACAAGCCTCTGCCTGAGCTAAGCCCCAGCCCTTAATCTATGACCAGAATCAATAAACATTTATTTAAAATAAGTAGACTTTTCATTCCATTGTGGAATCTTAGTCCATCTATTCATCTTTCCTTCTGTAGATCGCTGATAAAATGTAAACTTTAATTGTAGTAACTAAGACAGCAGCAGCATCTAAGAAGCTCTGGTGGTGCTGCAGGACTGCCAAGTGCAAGGTTGACAGTTCAAAACCACCCTCCACTCCCCAGGAGAAAGATGAGGCTTTCTTCTCCCATCAAGATTTACAGCCCCAGAAACCCTCTACAGGGTCCCGAAGAGTCAGAATCGACTCGATGAAAGTGAGTCTACAGCAGATGTTAGTTGTGTATGCAGCAGCAATCCTACATGAAAGCAAAAGTTGCCCCATTTGCTTTCTTGATACTATGCACTCACCTGCAAGGCCAGGTTTCAGTCCTGGCTGTTTGTTTGTTTCATACATTTTCAACATAAAATTGGGGATTCCTGCAATTGTTTTTCCTTGATCTGAACGGACACCTCCTTTTAACGCAGAATGGTAAATCCCACGAGGCATATTCACCATTTCTTGCTTCACAAGTGATGTAAAAAATTCCTCCAATGCTGAAAGAGGATAAAAGGTTATCAAAAGTAGAGTAAACATAACATGTCAAAGAGAAACATGCACTCTTAACTTATAGAAACAATTTAGCTCTACTTCAGACCAAACACAACATGGCTAAAACAGGATTCTTGATCCCATCTTCCTCATAGACTTTTCCTAGTCTTCCTCAAATCAGGACATGCTACCCAGTTGCTCAAGTCTAAAAACTTAGGAGTAATTCTTACCTTCTCTTTCTTTCATTCCTTACATGTAATCCATTAGCAAGCCCTCAGAATCTACCTTCAAAACACACCCCAAATCTATTCACTTCTCTCAATCGACATTGCTACTTCCTTAGTCAACATCTTCTCACATTCTCATCAGTTGTTGTTGTTAAGTGCTGTCAAGTCAGTTCCAACTCATAGCAACTCTGTAGTTTCCAAGGAGAGCCTGGTAGGTTTGAACTGTCCACTTTGTGGCTAGGAGTCCAGTGCTTATCCTACAGTGCCACACCAGGATTCCATGAGAATATATATGTATGCATATAAAACATAAGTAACTGGTGGTTGCCAGGGTAGGATGGGAGGCAAAAATTGTTGTTGTTGTTGTTGTTAATTTTTTGTATATTTTAAATGTATGTTAATGGTGTGGCTCTGTGGGTTAATGCGCCAGATTGCAAAGCCATTTGAACTGCAAGGTAGTTCAAGCTCATCAGCTGCTCCTTGGAAACCCTGTACAGGGTCGCTATGGGTCAGAATCGACTCGACGGCACTTAACAACAACAATAGTGGTGGGATAATTTTGAAAAAGATAGTGAGAATGGTTGTACACTTGAATAATGTCATGGAATTATATATATATATAAACTGACGAAATACTGAATGTTTTATATCACTGTAAAAAGACACATTTTATAAACAACAACAAATGACTGCTTTAATGAAGGCCTTCCATAATGTAGCCCTGACTCTCCCTCTGACCCCATATTCCACCATTCTGATTCCTGGCTAACTATACTAAAGCCATATTTCCATATTGTCTTCTTTCTGTTCCTTAACATCACAAGGCTCAGCTGTAAGTCAGGTGCACTGCCCTCATTGGTCCTTCCATGTAGAATGCACTAGGCCCAGCTTTTCATGTCACCGGAGCCTTTGTGTTATTTATAACTTTTCAGTGAGTGACTTTCACGAGCATCCATCACTCTGTAACCCTACAGGTACAATCAGTAAAAGCCAAAAGGTTAGTTCATCATTTCTTTGCTTGTGTTCTTTTTAACTGAGTCCAAGATCTTAATTGCTTGTTATTTTACTTGTTACAAGAAAAGACAGGAATGTGGGACCAGAAGACAATAAGATGACAAAGATAACTTGATAAGACCATTGTTGTTGCTAAGTACCACTGAGTTGGTTCTGACCATAGCGACCCTGCATAGGGTTTCCGAGGAGCAGCTGGTGAGCTTGAACTGCGGACCTGGCAGTTCGAACAATGTTGCAGTTCGGTGAATTAACATACAGCACCACACCAGGTTTACATATATATTTAAGTGTCATTTTCTTATGGAACACTAGAGGCTGCCCAATGCAGAAAGAGAAACAACAAACAAAATTAAAACTAAATAAATCTTATGGAGCAGGATCAAAGGAAACCACTGCATATGTCTATTATTATAGGGAAAAAAACAAGGGTCCATCTAATGAAATTGAAATTTCATTCTGAATAGATAAAGAAGTCTCCTTCAAAAAACAACCATGGTTGAATTAAAGGCAGCAAGTGCTCAATGGAGCAGCTATCACATGCCCAGTTTGGTCCTTCCTATGAAAAAATCCTAGCAGCCAAGTTCCTCAACTTCATAATCCATACAATACCTGTATGGGATGTTTCCCATTTGCCCCCTCCAAATCCACTCTTCCCCCTTCCCAACACTATCTGGTGCTTTGGAGAATAACTTTAAGGACTACATCCACATGGGAGACGCTGGTAGGAGATGAGAGGTGGAAACAGAGTGAGCTCAGGGAATGTGTTCTCTAGACGCACCTGCAGGATTGCTGCAGGTTCCCGCCATCTTTCTGAAGGCCTGGCGCCCCTTCCACTGTCCTATCTTGAGACACTGATGCTCTCTCTTATTCTGGACACTGCTTCCTCCCTTTGTCCCTTCAGGTCAAGACTGCAACTACTCTGGGATGATTCATGATTCCTTATAAAATTCTCTTACCCTGCTACCACAATTACAAATAATTCCTTTATTAAACTCTTCTCCAATGACTCCCTCTTAACGTTCCCTCCTTTTCCTGTTAAGACCCTAACCCTCACTGGACTGAAAGGTATGAGTAACACAGACCCCAATTCCTGCACACACATGTACATGTGGAACTGCTTAAAGTTGGGCAAGAGTATACTTGCCAGTGTGTGCCAATGAATCATCTATTTGTGAGAACAGAAGACCTCTGTTGAAGAAAGAAAATAAGATAGTTTCATGCCTTTCAAAAGGGATCCTAGGGTAGCAACATGTTAAACGCCAGCTACCCATCTGCACACTGACTGAAAACCACTCTTGAACTAAGGGAGGAAAAGTCTAACTCAAGAACTGAAATTTTTCTACATAGCAAACTAGAGATTCTCAAATAAAACCAGTAATTTAAAAGAGAGCCAGCTGCTTTGAGATTGTTACTGTTAAGTGCTGTCAAGTTGGTTCTGACCCATAGTGACCCTATCTATATAGGGTTTCCAAGGAGTCCTGGTGTGGCACTGTGGTCAACTGCGCTGGACTGCAAGGTCGGTTTGAACCACAAGGTTGGTGCTTCAAGCTCACCAGCCACTCCTCAGAAATCTTTCACAGGGTCGCTATGAGTCGAATTGACTCAATGGCACTTAACAACAAGGAGTGGTTAGTAGTCCACTGCTTATCTTACAATGCTGAACTAAGCCCTGAGTGTCCCTGATATCTGGAGTCCTATGTTCTCTTAGAAGGAGCCCTAGTGGCACACTGGTTGAGTGCTTAACAGATAACCAAAATGTCAGCTGTTTGAAACCAGCAGCTCCTTTGAGGGAGAAATGTTTGGAAATCTACTTCAGGTAAGTCTAGTCTGGAAAACCTTCGGTGCGCTTCTGTTCTGTTTTGTTCTGTTCTGTGCTACAGAGCTGCAGGAATTGGAACCAGCTCAATGGTAGAGGGCCATGCTGCCCTAGTGCTGAGCCAGGTTTTCTTCATCATCTTTGAGTCCTGCCCTACTCTCTTCCTTCCAGATGGAAATAAGTGAATTTGACAAGAAGCTAAACGTTCATAAGACACAGTGTCATATAAAGTTTTAAAACAGCCCAAATATCCTTCAATAGGTAAAAGGATAAACACAACATGGTACATCCACATTATGGAATATTACTCAGCAACAAGAAAGAGCAAATACTTGATGTTGTTGTTGTTAAGTGCCACCGAGTTGGTTTTGACTCATAGTGACCCTGTATAAGGTTTCTGAGGAATGGTTGATGAGCTTGAACCGCCTACCTTGCGGTTCAGAGCAACCTTGCAATGCAGCACATTAACCCATAATGCCACATCATATATACAAGATTTTGGATGGATCTCAAGGGTCTTATGCTGAGTGAAAAAAAAAAAAGTCAATCTCAAAAGATGTGTGGAAAAAACACAACAAAAATTTTAAAACCTGTTGACATCTAAATAGCTTACAGTAGCACTGTAGCAATGTCATGATTTTAATTTTAAAAACATACTATTGTTGCCACAGAGGGCTAGAGCTGAGAGTGAAGCATCCAGATGATATGAAGTGAGGGGAGATGCACAAGAACACCCACACTTGCAGATAGTACCTTAGCTTTCCATGGCTTGATGATCAGAACTCAACTAGAGGAAGACAAAAAAAAATTTTTTGATAAAAGAAACAAGTGTAAATCGCTACAATTTGATGAACGTGACCTATACTTATGGATGTGGTGGTGGTGGTGGTTAGGTGCCGTGGAGACGGTTCCAATTCATAGAGACCCTGTACAGGGTTACCAAAGCTGTAAATCTTTACGGGAGCAGAGAGCCTCATCCTTCTCCTGTAGAACAGCTGGTAGTTTCGAACTGCTGACCTTGCAGTTCGCAGCCTGATTCATAATCACCATGCTACCAGAACTCTTTATGGATGTAGTAGCTTAAAATACCAACCAAGAGGGAAGGAATCTTCACAGCAAGAATCATTCCCATCTCCTCTGTACACAAGATTGATACTATTGTTGAAAAAATCCTCACCACTGGACCAATAAACAACATTCTTATCAATGGAGAAGAGATTGAAGTTGTCAAGGACTTCATTCTTCTTGGATCAACTATCAACACTCGCGGAAGCAGCAGTCAAGAGATCAGACGACGTATTGCACTGGACAAATCTGCTGCACAGGAACTTTTTAAAGTATTGAAGAGCAGAGATGTCAGCTTGAGGACTAAGGTGTGCCTGACCCAAGCCATGCAATTTTCAATAACCTCATATGGATGCGAAAGCTGGACAGCGAATAAGGAAGATCGTAGAAGAATCTTGATGCCTTTGAGTTGTGGTGTTGGAGGAGAATACTGAAAGTGTCATGGACTGCCAAAAGAACCAATAGATCTGTTTTGGAAGAAGTGCAACCAGAGTGCTCCTTGGAGGCAAAGATGGCTAGGCTTCGTCTCTCATACTTTGGACACATTGTCCGGAGAGAACAGTCGCTGGAGAAGGATGTCATGCTGGGTAAGGTGGAGGGTCAGAGAAAAAGAGGAAGACCCCCAACGAGATGGATCAGCCAGGTGGCATCATTGATGGCGTCAAGTGTGGCAGCGGTAGTGAGGTTGGCCCAGGATCGGACATCGTTTCGTTCTGCTGTGCATGTGGTCGCTATGAGTCGGTTCCGACTCGATGGCACATGACAACAACAACATTGTTGAATGATGATACATGGAGGGGATTGTAATTATTGCAAGGAAACAAAATACAATAGGATGAGTGTAAAACTGATGTTCTCCCATAAACTATCACTCAATTCACAATAAACAATAAAAAAAAAAAAAAAGATGGAAGGAATACACATACTCATTGTATCAAAACGAAATAGTCGATATTCAACCATTTCAAGGGGTAGTATATGATCAAAAACCAATAGTACTGAAGGAAGAAGTCCAAGGTGTACTGAAGGCATTGGCAAAGAACAAAGCTCTGGGGAATGATGGAATACAAACTGAAATATTTCAACAAACTGAGGCAACAATGGAGGCACTCACTCATCTAAGAAATCTGAAAGACAGCTACCTGGCCAACTGATTGCAAGAGATGCATATTTGTGCCCATTCCAAAGAGAGATGATACAACAGAACCTGGAAATCATCAGACAATATCATTAATATCACATGGAAGTAAAATTTTACTCAAGATAATTCAAAAATGGTTACAACAGTACATTGACATGGAACTGCCAGAGGTTCAAGCCAGAGTCAGACAAGGACATGGAAAGAGGTCTGTCACTGCTGATGCCAGATGGATTCTGGCTGAAAAAGCAGAGAATACCAGAAAGACATTTACCTGTGCTTTATTGACTATGCAAAGGCTTTCAACCATATGGTTATGACAAGCTATGGATAACCATAACCTTTTGGAGAATGAGTATTCTGGAACACTTAATTTTGCTCATGAGGAATCTGTATATAGAACCAAGAGGTAGTTGTTCGAACAGAACAAGGGAACTCTGAATGATTTAAAATCAGGAGAGGTGTGTGCCAGGGTTGTATTCCTTCACTATATTTATTCAATATTTATGCTGATCGAATAATCCAAGAAGCTGGATTATATGAAGAAGAACATGGCATCAGGATTGGAGGAAGACTCATTAACAATCTGCAATACGCAGTGATACAACCTTGTTTGTAGAAAATGAAGAGGACTTAAAATACTGATAAAAATTAAAGACCACAGTCTTCTGTATGGGTTGCACCTCAACGTAAAGAAAACAAAAATCCTTACCACTGGAGGAATAAATAACATCATGATAAATGGAAAAAATAAAAAAATACTATTGTTAAGTAAGGAGTCCTGGTGTGGCGCTGTAGGATAAGCACTGGACTGTTACGTGCAATGTTGGTAGTTTAAGCCCACCAGCCCTTCCTCAGACATCCTATACAGGGTCACTAAGAGGCAGAATTAACAACAACAACATAGTTAAATAAAATGTTTTTAATAAAAACAGCTGGGCAAAAGATACACAGGAACTCTGTAAAATATTTTTGCAACTTCTATTGTCTAAAAGTTATTTTAAGGTAAGACATTTTAAAAGAAAAGTAATAAGATCCCTATTTTAAAAATACAAATTACTGGATTTACTTTGCAGCCAGCTGCTTTTCTGTTCACCTGAAAGGGATTAACAGGAAACAAGGCCCAGGATACATTGACTTTCAGCGCAATCCAGTTTTCTGCTTCAAGCACCTAACAACCCAATAAATATCATCTATCCTGTGCCTGTGAGGGGATTCTAAGGCTGATACCATTTTTTTCTGGTTTTCTTTATAGTCCCCTGGTAATCACAGGGAGTCCTGATGTGGTAATGTACTATAAGCACTAGACTGCTAACCACAAAGCCAACAGTTCAAACTCACCAGGAAACCCTATGCAAGGGTCACTTAACAACAATAAGAGGAAGTGAGGCAGACAGATGAAGTACTTTGCCCCTCATGACATAATTTGTCAGGCATAGAGACAATGTAGTCACACACAGGTCACCTGACAAATTTTTTAATTTTCTCAAATAGATGTACTTGTTGGTCTCAAGTACTTCACTTTCTTCTGAGGGAAAAGCCTTGGTAGCATGAAATACAAGCAACAAAGACCCACCAGCCAATGGCCACCACAGAATTCCAGAGAAGAGACAGAAAACGGTAGCACACCTTGGCAACAAACATCATCTCCCCATCGACTTTTAATGCCATAGATTGGAGGGCAGGATTTGTGTAGGACCACAAAGTTGTTTTTCATAAGTACACAAGGACATGGACTCAAAGGATATTGTGAGAGAGAAAAGAACCCTTGGCTAACTGGTGGTGTTAGCCTTCCTCAGACTCACTATTAACCACAGAGGAAGTCCCAGACTATTCTCCCAGGCTCCTACCTTGCAGTTTTCCAGAGTTTAGTACTGAACAAAGAAAATAGAACAAAATGTTGGCTAATACTTAAAAGCTACTTAATTACAATGGATCACTTACAGAAATGTTTTTAATAATGAGAAAATACAATTTAAAATGAAATAATGTGACTTCCCAATCACAATCCACAACCAACAAAATTTCTTGAGTAGGATAGTTACAGAAACAAGTCAGTATTTCTAAACAATTGTGTCTGTAATCTGTACAGAGTAAATATAACATGTAAATACTAAAGCATTTTTTAAATGTCAAGATCCTTGTTAAGTTTTATATCAAAACTGAAGGATTACACAATTTGATCCATTTAAAAAAACCTTAGAAAACTTTTTAAAAAAAGAAAGTTCTCAATGGAAAATACTTCTCAAATATAAGAGGGCTTCATAAAGTTCTTGAAAAAGTGAAACTGAATAAAAATAGAATTTTCCACAAACTTTTTAAAGCTCCTTCACATTAATACTGTCTTTGGACTAATCCTATGGAAAGAATAAACATGTAATGATGAATCTCTGCATTAAATCTCTGAAGAAGTTTCAAATGATCTTTGGCTCAAATAATGGTCCTTGATAATATAAACTAATTCAATCCCACTGCAAATTCTGTCAGTGAAATGGTTATTTAAATTAATTTTCCAGTTCAACTTTACCCAACTCTACCTTGTTCCTCCCTTCCTTCTTTCTCTTTTTGGTGGTTTTGAACACCTAACAACCTCAAGTAGTCTCTATAGAACAGATGAATGTAGTTAGCATTTCAGCTAGGAATATTTACATTTAAAGTAAGAAATGGTATGTACTTGTACATATTACAAATAACACAATTAATCAGACAGGTAAAATCACTGAGAAATGCCAGTTTCTCTGCCACTAAATACTCTACATGGTTACCTGGTAATACTGAAGGAGCTGTGAGTGACAACAGTTCGAGATAGCAAGAGCCAGGAACTGAAAGGTCTGTATCCTTTTCACCACCTTCATCATCATCATCTTCATCAAGCTCATCAGACACAGGGATTTCTGGTCTTACCTGAAATAATAACAAGTGATAAGATATCAAGGATGATACTAAAAACATTATTTATGTGAGGTCTTTTCTGTCTTCTTCATGTCACAACTGAAAGACTGAGTTAGAATCTATCACTCTATAATGCCCCTCAAGAGTAATTAATTTTTAAAAATTATTGTTTACCAGATTAACTAAATGATAAGCATTTGTCATCTTATTAGATACAATCTCAGTTCCATGTAAAGAACAAGTAATAATACAGTTAAAAAACAAAACAAAACCCTAAGCCAGCATATGCAATGATTAATATAGAAAATGAATAAATTCTACACCATGAGACAAGCAAATGCAAACCTAACACATTCAATATACCAAACTTGTAAGACTTATAATTAAATATTTGCCTCATCTGAATAGTTTAGCTTTGTCTAGCTTTTTAATTTATGGTTCCATGATCAAAATATACATCTGTACCACAAACTTAAAATTATCCAGTAGAATATATGGTAGAGTAGCAGAGGTCAATGAGGAACAGACTGCTTCAGTTGATTTTTACATTTTTTTAAAGACTTGGCAGTTTGTTGCTATAGAATATAAAAAACATTAAAATCTATAATTGGTAGCTATACTTTATTGCGTCTAATTTACAGTTTATGACTTTTTGGTTATTCTGTGATTAGTTAGGTTTGTTTGAGCCAAAAATAAAAACGAAAAAAAAAAAATCACTATTGTAGCTTCCACAAGTTATAACTGTTAAGCAATTAATTAAATTTTTAATACTTTCAATGACACACCATCATAATGATCACAAGGAGACAATTAAGCATGAGGGGAGGAAATCAAACTACATAAAAGTGGTGTTGCTATAACCATAAAGTGCCAGAACCCAGTCATTACCATGAGCCTGTCTCCCAGAGTTATTTTTAGAAATAATTAACAATCCTTGCAGACTGCCTTCTTCATAGGTCCCCAAAGCACTGTTCCATCTAGGAACTGCACTGAGTCAGGAATCTTTCAGGGGGATGAAAGACAAGAGTGAAGAAGTCCTTCTCTTATATATTATAAGTTCAACACCAATGAAGTCTTTAAGCCATAACTAGTGTCATCTTCGCTAGTGAAGGAAGAGTAAAAGCCGCTGGACTACCCGGGTTCTTTCTAAGATAAGACTTAATTCTGATTCATTAGTGAGCACCTAACTCTCTGAGGTCTGAGCCCGTCATAATTATAGAGTTGAAAATCAGGTGTCTCGCAGGTAAGGCATGACACCATTCATCAATATCGCTGCACACCAGAGGAAGTCTGGACCGTTTGCCAATCTATGGGCTCTGACAAGCAGAGTTTTCCAGTTACCTCTGGTCTGAGTACATACGGAATTTGCCAGGCTTAGCATCATCAAAGGTTATATTAGAGAATCAAACCAGTTCTTTTGTTAAGTGCCACACAGTCGGTTCAGATTCATAGTGACTCTGGATATGGTTTCCATGGAGCAGCTAAAGTGTTTGAATTGCTGACCTTGTGGTTTGCAATCCAGTGCATACCCTACAGGACTCCAAACCAGTCCTAACTGCCTAAATAAAGAAGTTGGTTCTAGATCTCTTTGCCATGTGTCCTAACTTTTTCCACAAAATAAAAACCCTATGTTAACAGACAACTATGCTTTCAGTGGGAAATGAGATGGGTCACCTCTCCGTGGCAGCTGGGCATCACAGTACTGCGAGCTCTGACATATGTATATCAGCCTCACATATGTCTGGTGCCTGAGGACATGGAGTTCAAGAGAAATGAACTATACATACATAAGAACATGTACAGGAATGTTCATAGCAGCATTTTCCAAAATTGTCAAAAAGTAGAAGCAACCACAGTACATCAATACAATTTCATATATCCATGCACTGGAATATTATTCAATCATAAAAATGAGTCAACTGAGGGAACCTACAGTCACCAAAAGAAAAGAAATAATAAAGATTAGAGTAGAAATAAATGAGATAGAAAACAGAAAAACTAAAGAAAGAATCAACAGGACAAGAAGCAAGTTCTTTGAAAGGATTAATAAAATTGACAAACCACTGGCAAAACTAACAAAAGAAAAGAGGGAGAAAAAGCAAATAATACGAATTAGAAACCACATGAACAATGTCACAATGGAACCAAAGGAAATAAAAAGGATAATAACAGAATACTATGAAGAGTTGTACTCCAACAAATTTGAAACCTTATAAGAGATGGATAGATTTTTAGAAATAAACTTGGCGGTGACTGTGGTTATGTGCTGTGGAGTCGGAACCAACTCATAGCGACCCTGTAAATGGTTTCCAAGGCTGTTTCCATTACAGGAGGAGAAAGCCTCATCTTTCTCCCGCGGAACAGCTGGTAGTTTTGAACTGCTGACCTGAAGGTTCGCTGCCCAATTCGTAACCACTATGTTACCAGAAATAAATTTATACAGCGTGAAGTAGAAAACTTGAACAGACCCATAACAAAAAAATTGATCAGATCATCAAAAAACTTCCAACCGAAAGAAGTCCAGGTCCAGATGGCTTCACTGGTGAGTTTTACCAAATATTCAGGGAAGAGTTGTCACTATTTCTACTCAAATCATTCCAGAATATAGATAACCCTCATACCAAAACCAGGGAGGGCCATCACAAAGAAAGAAAATTATACACCAATAGCCCTCATGAACATAGATGCAAAAATTCTCAACAAAATCCTAGCCAACAGAATCCAGCAGCACATCAAAAAAATAATACATCATTACCAAATGGGATTCATATCAGGGATGTAAGGATGGTTCAACATTAGAAAAGCAATCAATGCAATCCACCACATAGATAAGAAAAAAGAAAAGAACCACATGATCATATCGACTGATGCAGAAAAGGCATTTGACAAAATCCAACATGCATTCCTAAGAAAAACACTCAAAAAAGTAGGAATTGAAGGGAAAATCCTCAGCATAATTAAGAGCATATATACAAAACCAACAGCTTACATTACTCTCTAAGGAGAGAAATTGAAAGCCTTCCCTCTGCGAACAGGAACCAGAAAGGGATGACCTTTGTCATCACTCTTATTCAATATTGTGCTGGAAGTCTTAGCCAGAGCTATATGGCAAGATAGGAAAATTAAAGGCATCCAAATAGGCAAAGAGGAAATATAACTCTCTCTATTTGCAGAAGATATGATCCTATAGGTAGAAAACCCCAAACACTCAAAAGCTACAAGACCTTATTGGAAGATTCTGCAAAGCAGCAGGGTTTAAGATCAACATAAAAATCAGTTGAATTCCTCTATAGTAACAATGACAGTGCTGAAAAAGGACATTAGGAAAACAATACCATGTACAATAGCCAGCCACAGGATAAATATCTAGGAATAAATCTAACCAGACAAACAAAGGACCTATACAAAGAAAAACCACAAAACACTACTACAGGAAACCAAAAGACACTTACAAAAGTGGAAGAATATACCACGCTCCTGGATAGGAAGACTTAGCATTGTGAAAATGTTAATACTGCCCAAAGCAGTTTACACATACAAAGCAATTCCAATCCAGATTCCAACAACATTCTTTAAAGAGACAGAAAAAACAATTACAAACTTTATATGGAAAGGAAAGAGACCCAGGATAAGAAAAGCACTGTTTAAGAAGAAGAAGAAGATGAGAAGCCTCTCACTCCCTGACTTCAAAATTTACTACACAGCTCCAGTGGTCAAAACAGCCTGGTATTGGTACAATAAAAGATACATTGATCAATAGAAAGGAATCAAGAATTCAGAAATTAACTCATCCAACTGATTTTCGACAAAGTGCCTCAGTATATATGGGGAGGAGATAGTCTCTTCAACAGATGGTACTGGCAGAACTGGTAAGTGATATACAAAAAATTGAAACAAGACCTTTATTTCATGCCTTAAACAAAACCAACTCAGCATGGATTAAAGACTTAAATGTGAATCCCAGAATTATAAAGGCCATCAATGTAAAAATAGGGACAAAAGTGAGGGCTCAAAAGTGAGACTACCAAACATTTTGAAAATTACACAAACAAAAGTAGACAAAATAGATGATTGAGACAGACTAAAAATTAAAAACTTATGTGCATCAAAAGACTTCATCAAAAGAGTAAAAAGGGAGCCCACAGAATGGGAAAAAATCTTTTGCAATGACACATCGGACTAGGGACTAATATCTAAAATATATAGGAAACTACAACACCTCTACAAGAAAAAGACAAATAACCCAATTAAAAAATGGGCACAGGACATGAACAGACACTTCACCAAGGAGGAGATCCGGGCAGCCAACAAATATGTGAAGAAATGTTCATGATCATTAGCCATTGTTGTTGTTGTTGTTAAGTGCCATCGAGTCGGTTCCAACCCATAGCGACCCTGTATAGGGTTTCTGAGGAGTGACTGGTAAGCTTTAACCATCAACCTTGCAGTTCAAATGGCTTTGCAGTCTGGTGCATTAACCCACAGCACCACACCAGGACTCCCACTAGCCATTAGAGAGATGCAAATCAAAACAACAATGAGATATCATCTCACACCAGCAATAACAGCAAAGATCAAAAAAGTTGTTGTTTTTGTTGTAGAGGACAATAAATGCTGGTGAGGATGCGGAGAGCCTGGGACCCTCCTATATTGCGGGTGGGATTCCATAATGGTCCATCCACTCTGGAAATCAATATTTCCTCAGAAGGTTGGAAATAGAAATACCTTACGATCCAGCAATTCCTCTACTTGGTATTTACCCACAAGAAATATGAGCCATAACACGAGTAGATATATGCACACCAATGTTCACAGCAGCACTATTTACAATGGCAAAAAGATAGAGACAGCCTAAGTACCCATCAATGAAAGAATGGATAAACAAGCTGTGGTATATACACACAATGGAATATTATGCTTGAAGAATACCAAGGAAGCTGCGAGTCACCACATAACATGGATAAACATGGAGGACATTATGCCGAGTGAAATTAGTCAGTCACAATAAGATA